AGCTTTCGAGGGATCATCAAATCCTATCTTGGAGACTTATGGAATTGAGATTGGTGAAGCTACACATGAGGTTGAATGGACTGACATCCCTTACTTAGGCAAGTCAAGATACCTTGAAGGACAACTGGGAGGTAGCTATGCTTACAAATTTTCCTATCTAAGCATTACAAAGGCCAAGATCATGCTTCCTTGCCAACACCTCACAAGCTTGATTGCCTACCCAACCGCCTACTTTCATCGTGAAGAGGAGTACCTCTACCATGCTTCCACAATGCCACCTCTTAGAACATAATGAGAAGAGGTTTGGCTACTAACTTGGGCGCATCATCCAGCCAAGAGTAATAATAGCTTTAATGCCATGTCTATGGTAGTGAGAGGTAATACTTCAACCCGTATGATTCAACCATCTCATCCCAATCTATAAGGAAAGCCCACCACCATGAAAACCTTCTCATAAGTTGGAATAAATGTCAGGACAAGAGCATAAAGAAATTGGTCAAAACTCTGAATGGTATGAAATTGGAAGCTCCTCTTCTTCAAGGGCTCAGAAAGTACAAGAAGAAGCAGCAAATAGTGAAGAAGAAGAAGTTGCTGAGAATCTGATAAGGATGGCGATAAGCTCCTCTCTCCACCAGCAACCAAGGCGCCCCTCTAGTGTTGATTCCCTAAGGTCTTCATCTTATGAGACAAGGCAAAGAAAGAGAAGAACAATGAGATCACCTACACCTGAGTCTAGCAACTCTTCTTATTCCATGGAGGACTCCACTTCCTCCTCCATCCAATTCCAAGGTACCACTAAAGATAGTCTAGCATAACTCTATATTAAACATTAATATTTTACACTTTTATAATTAAAAATAGTATATACATTTTTTATGTAAAAAAAATATCATAAAAACATCCCTAACCATCCACATCAAAAAAAAAAAAAAATTCTTACAAACTCAACAAGTAAGAAAAACTACTATGATTTTTTTTTGGTTAAGAAACTCTTTAAAAGAATAACATATAAATTATTAATTTAATTATAAAGATGCATAAAAATATAGGTATAGTGTAAAACAAAATCTAAGTTAAATTACAAGTCAAATATAAATAAATTTTTTACATCTTTTGAGTTTTGAGAAACTCGACATATTTTGTTTATTGTAATTAGTTTGTATGAAGTTCTATTTGTATATGCATTACTTGAATCCACATCGGCAAAAGAGAAATTCCTTACAAACTCAACATGTAAGAAAAACTACCATGTTTTTTTTGGGTTAAGAAACTCTTTTAAAAATAATAGAATATATTATTAATTTAAGTATAAAGGCTCATAAAAGTATATGTGTAGTATAAGAAAAATATCTAAGTTAAATTATAAATCAAATGCAAATGAACCTTTTACACCTTTGAGTTTTGAGAAACTCGGCATATTTTATTTAATAGAATGAGTTAGTATGAAGTTGTATTTGTATATGTATTATTTGTTTTATTCATTTGCACTTCTATAGTTTACAGATACTTCAACGATCAAATCAAAATTGCAATTCATCAATATGATTATGAATTTGTATACTATGTAAATGTTATTTTTATTTATATGAACAAATAGGAAGGCTAAGATATGACTCGTACATGGCCACTTACTAAGTTGCAGACAAAATATCAATAGTAGAAAAAGGAACTGCAAGAGAGACTATAGGTTCATTTAATATATATGACATGGGTTTATAGCGCTTAATGGTTTGTATTAGTTTGATCGTCTTTTTATAACCTTAACTCAAGTATAAAAATGAGTGTGTATGAAATATTTTTATAAAAAGAATATAATTAGGTTATAATACATATTAATTAAATTTATAATAATAATAACAATATGATATATTTATTTAGTTTTAATTATTTTTGAAACATACTTTTATTCTAAAAACTTATTAGTGAATCACTATGGATTTATTCTAATAGTATCCAAAATATCTATCACTATAGCTCTATTAGTACAAAAACATACACTAATAATATGAATTTGTATTTTTTTTTTGTATTAGACAAGTGACACCCTAAACCTAAGAACATGTTTCAATAGTTTTTCATAAAGTCACTAAAATGAATTATATATATATATAAATAATTATTTGGGTGACTTAAAAACTTGAAAAAGTTATTTATTATTATATTATTAAACATTATATATAATATAATACTATTGTTTATTGTTTTATTATTTATTGAAAGATTATGACTATACATGTTCAAAGCCCATTAATAAAAATAAAAAGCTCAAAAATTTTAAACCCAAATTATTAAAGTTTTAGAGTTTTTTTTAGAATTTTCTTTATAAAAAGAAAAACAGAAAAACATAATCCTCATCTCAAAAACTTAAAACTCAGAGCCGCCGTCGCGAAGAAGAGGAGCTGCTGCTGCAAAGGAGAAGAGCCTCCACCGCTAAGAAGAGGAGCCACCGCCGTTTCTTTGCTCTGGATCTTTGTTAGATCTGCTCTTCCCTAACCCAAATGCCTTTACTAATTGATCTAAACAAAGGTGAGGATATATATGTGTCTTCCCTTCTGCTTTATTTTACTTGTTTCATTTCTAGTGGAGGTTAAGCCAAATTCTATTCTTTCTGCAAGTTACACTAGGGATCATAATTTATAGTTGCATGTTATATGTTAGGATATATTTACTTGATTTTGAATATAGATATAAAATCATAATGAATAGTATTACTTTTCATTTTTTTTTTGTTTTTTTGTATATTTTATTGTATATAGAGTGTTAAAAGCACAACTGCATCATGAGCCAAAAATGATGTTGTTCCACTGGTCAATATTGTTTGGAGTCTTGATAGAGGTGGTTCTTGAAGTATACCAAAGCTTATGCTGATAAACCCACGAGTATCACGGTACAAAACGGCGATGATGCACCCCTAGTACAAGAGTAAGACATCACAAGCTATTTAGTATCGTAAACTACGAGGGTACTACTACATTATGCGAGTAGTTATCTTACTTACTAGATTGAGTCTTGACTGTATATCTTATTGATTGTTAAAGAGTCACGAATATTTGTTCGTTTAGTCTATGGCTAACAATAGGTGTTGGTTGTAATGCATGGTGGACCACATGTATGTATTAACATAAGTGATCTAAATTATTTATATTTCTTCCCTTTCCTCTTTTTCTTTCGTAAGTGAGCAAGAACAGCAATAGTGATTTCTGATGATTAGTGTTAGTATCTAGTTTGATTTTGAAAATCAAAATACTTAGATTTTTATTATTGGTTTTAAAACTTTTCGATATTTTATCATTTGATTTCAAATTTAATACAATTTTTGTAAGACATTTTGTTGTTTATTTATTAAATGGATTTGAATTTAAGTTTGAAAGTGATTTTGGCTGAAAATTTAAATGGGTATCATGTTGTATTTGTCAAACAAAATGAGTGTTACATGCTAGGTTGCATGGAAACAAAAATATATATGATAACCAAAATGTTTCGAAACATGCAATCACCATTTAAAAATATATAAAAATGAAAATGTTCTACAAATGTGTATAATATAAATAGAATAGTTAAATATTAAATAGTTTAACTTTTTTAGGTCAACAATCAAATAGTTTAACTAAAGATAAAAATCATAAGGTCTAAAGTCAAAAATTTAGAATATTTTCTGCAATGTTATTTTCATTAGCTGCATTAACCAAAACTATATACAATTTTAATATATAGGAAGAAAGATCATCAAACTCAATAATACTAACTAATCTCATTTAATAAATTAAATTAATTATTAATTTATTCTAATGAATCAAAACAATTATTAATTAACTTACTATAATGAATTAAATTAGTCACTTAATTTAATTTTTGTAATTTTTTTTTTATAATTAAAAATCAATAGTAAATTTCCGTTACATCTCCAATATAGAAAAGAAAGCTTCCATCATATTTTTAACCTAAAACCTTTAGAAAATAAACACTACATGTTTTCAACGAAATTTTAAAGATTTATATTTTTTAAACAGAAAATAGAACTTAAATGCAATTTTCATGTAATCTAGTTTACAAAACACATTTTGAAACCTTATACAGAACATTTTTTTTTCCCTCTAGCGGTTACTCCAGCTACGTATAATGTAATGCTTTCTTAAATAATGTAAAATGTTATTTTTCTTAATGTACTAAATTTTTAATTAAAACAAGCAAAATAAGAAGAAAAAGCTAAATTCCCAATGGCACCACTTAATACACTGGACTTACGTTTAAAGAGGGGTTATTGGGAGATGTATTTTTAAAGATTCTATAATTCTATTAGTTTGGTTGATGGATTCCAATATTCTTATTAAAATCTAGTGTTATTGGTTTGATGATTTTTAAAAATCATTTCTATTCAAAAAGTTTGAGGTTTAAAGATTCAATAATTGCATTAAAATATATTATTGGATTATGGATTTTAAACCAATTATCACATGAAACAAAAATTGCACTGGTAAAATTTGTTCCTTTATAATTTTTCTACATATGTGTTTTCTTTTTAGCTACTGATCCGACATGATTTTCTGCAATATATATATATATATATATATGATTTTCTGCAATATATATATATATAACACTTATTGAAATAATATATTAATCTCAGGATCGTTACGGATATCCCGGGGACAACCGATGTGACATTCGGTAAGTCAGATACACCCTTTGATATACAAACAAATAACATACACGTACACTTATTTATTTTCATATGTGACATTGATTTGTAGCGTTTAATAGTTTGTATTAGTCATAGTTTTATAACTCCAGTTTTAAATCTTAAAATTGTACTTGTATGAATTGTATAGAAAATTAGTAGTTCATCATATACATATCAACTGATTTTGTAATAGACAAATCAAAATAACATAATATATGATATCTATGCACTTTTAACCATTTTCGCATATAATCTGGATTTGAAATCCATTGGTTTGTATTAATGTCTCATTTGTCATATAACCCGGTTTAAATAGAAAATGTGTGCGTCAGATGTAGACTATAAAAGAAACATTTCTATATACATGTCTTAGTTGATTTTAATATATATTAAAAATGCAAAACAGGAAAGGAAAATGTAGGTTACGAGACGCCTCGGCCAAAAATAGGGATCCACCGATTTGTGTATTTGCTGTTCAAGCAGAGCCGTAGAGGAAGTGTGGTTTTTGTGCCATCTTGCAGAGATCAATTCAACACTCGGAAGTTTGCTGAAGAGAACTGTCTTGGCCTCCCAGTCGCAGCAGTTTACTTCAACTGCCAGCGTGCGACTGCCTCTAGAGGTCGTCTAGCTGCAGCTCTCCGGACATCAGACCCTGATGTCAAGATTTTGCCAAGATTGGTAATTCAATTCGTTTTTCTTCTATATTAATGATCTTTTAATGTCTCAGTTCTTGTACTTATCTTTTAAAATTTCTGATTTATGCTCATTTTTCTCTTTGTTTTTGCGCTTGTGCAGAGGACACACACACGCAAAGATGGCAGTTTTATGAATGCAGGAGCTGAGGCTATTGAATGTGAAGTGGAGGAAGCTGTTGACCAGAATCAACCTCACGATGAACTGCTTGGAAGCTCACGTAATCATTCTCGCATTCTGCGCAACAAAAAACATGTCAAGGTAATCTACAAAAACTCACTCTAGTCTAGTATTCTGTGGATTTTTTTAGGCAGTTTTTGGTGAGTTAAGTTGTGGCTTTTTTGTGGATTCTGTGTTGTGAATTAGTTTTGCTTTCAGTTGGTTTGTTATTTTTCAGTTGATACAATGTTGTAGAGATTGCATTTTGTGTGCTTTATGGAATGCATATTGTTTGGTTTATTATTTTGCACATTTATTTTGATTTCTTATTTAGCACATTATATTTGATCGCTACAAATTGACAATATAAACTGATGTTTTCCTTAAGTTTATAAAATCTCCTCTCTCACCATTAATTTTCTTGGCTGTTTGTTTTTCTATGTTTCATAAAACAGTGACTATTCTTTTTGAATGTTTTATTTCACAGCGCGGCAAGTTTTCTAAAGGGCGGATTCATGGCATAAGCAGCGTTCAACACCGGGATATCATTCTCGGTGAATCAGTCCCTGCCCTCCATACGGATATGCACATTGCTGGTTTGGAGACGAACGTAGTATCCGTCAATAACAACGTTTCAGAGTCCAAGGGAGATGTAGCGATGTTGCAAGATGAGTTTAAGGCTGAGGCAGCAGCACAGCGAGTTATGCTAAATTACATCTTGCAAAATCGGTCTGCTTTCCAACCACCATCCATTGCTGCCGCCACTACCGCTGAAGATGGTGTTGCTGCCGCAACGACTGGTCAAGACCAGCAAGCAAACCTCAACCCAACAACTTAGGTCCTAATGAGTGAGAAGAGCAACTTATATGTTTTTAATGATTCGACATTTGCTACTTTGATATTTGGTATTTTTGTGTAAGAATGATGTAATGTGCATTTGAATATGTATAATATTATTTCGGATGATCAACAACAGGTTTATTTAGATTTTGAAGTTTAGGTTGAGAAAAATTCGTATTATTTTTTCCCCTCATAATTAAGAAAGGCCATGGAATAACAGTGGCAGTTTCGTGGCTACATAATCAGCCACGATATTTTCGTAGCCCATATAGCCATGATTTTTGTCACTGCAAGACCATGACAGTTCCTAACAAATCAGCCATTTTCCAGAAAGTGGCTACATATGCTACACTCTTGCCACGTGAATTCCGTGGCTAACTTGTCTAACGATTCAAGTGGGTTTTCCGTGACAAAAGTTGCCAGAGATTTGAACTCTGTATAAAGTTTAGAATCTTTTTATTGTTCCTCTTTATTCTTTTGATTTACAATCAAATTCTCAAGTTATTTTCTAGTTTGTTTATCATAGTGCAAAATGATTAATCAAATCCTTACATATTGGTACGTAACCCAAATTTTATTCCAAGTCATTGTATCGGTATGTGTGAGATTTGGGTTAAAATACTAAAATAGGTAATTTTATACAGTTGAACGAGTACATGAAATATAAAACAGATTTACAAAACTAATCTATTTAACCAGCGAAACTTGTGCCAATAACACTCACTTTTCCATCAATAAAATACTTTTTCTGTTTCAAAATGTTTGAAAGATTTGGTTTTGTTTCAAGATAAAAATTATTTTATAGATTTTAAGTAAAAATAATAATATTTGCACAAAAAAGATAATAATAATATTTTAATTTTAAAAGTGGAAAAGCAAAAAATCAAATGTGAGTTACTCATCTTTTATATTGTAAAATAATGATTGATTTTTAAGAAAAAAAAATGAAAACTTGTCTTAATATGTGTGCTTTCCTCCAAAACAACTTTTGAAGAATGTGTTAGCTTCAATCAATTGCTGAAGATCTTCCCAATATCTTGAAATTCACTTCCACTCCTGCAATGCTCGACTATTGTATTATAGATTCACTCATGTCTTCACCTAGGTTGATGAATAAGATGACTCATGATGAACATATCGCCATATCTCCCTCATCAATCCAGTTTGCAGATGAATCATTGATGCAAGTGGATTCACCTATGTTCGGTACTGGTGAAAAATAAGGGATAATTTTTGACATAATCCATTTCATAATTGGGACCCTTCATAATTCTATTATGAAATGTGACCCTTCCTAAAATGATTCATAAGAGGGGTCTACTAGTTTGCTTTCAATATGCTATTAGTTTGCCAGTAATTTGTAATAAGTTTACCATTAGTCTGCTAGTAGTCTATATTGAATTATTTGACCAATCAGTCTGTCAATTGTCTGCATTCAGTCTGCCAGTAGTCTGCCATTAATCTACAAATAACATTAGTTAGAAGGGTAGCGCTGATATTTAAAAAATCGTAAAAATGGGTCATTTTCACAATTTTCGCTCAGTGGAATACTCAATTCACATTATTTTATCATTCTGGATCATTTTGGAGCATTTCCTCGAAAAACAACAGCATCTACCTTAAACTAATGGTGTTCCCTCTGTTATAGTGCTGAATAGTAGAAATTCTGCCTTGCCCTTTCAAGCTACCACTAACAAACCACCGTTGTTTCACAATCCTCCAATAGGAGCTTGGGCTTTACCCCTTAAAACTTCTACTCTCTTTCCTGGTACAGAGAATTACACATCTTCAATCTGTTAGGACAATCAATTCTCCATCCTCTCAATAAATAACTATTGGCCTGCTCTTAAGAAGCAACCAATGCGTAAGCGAATACCTGCAGAAGCTCTAACATATTCGAGAGCAAAGGCCATAGCTGCACAAATTCAAAATTTTCCAGACATCGTCAATGCTTTTAAAGAGTATCCTTGGGCTGCAAAGATGAAATCTGTTTGCAACCTGCATAGAGTCACTATTCCGGGCTATATGGAAAATGGCACTCCAAAGGTTAGTATCCTAAGCCATGTCCTACTAGAGGGTATAGAGAACCATAATCAATATGTTTGGGGTCAGTTCTATCGTTGTGCAGCTCCATCTAGAGGACTTATACATACTGTAGCTACGCGTATATGGGGTCGTAATTGCTGCATTTTCATTCGAAAACTAGGAGAGCTTTTTTATTTATTCCATATCCCAGATGAAGCAACTCGTAAATGGGTAATTCAGAGGGGTATATGGCATGTACATGACTTTCTCATGTTTGTTTCACCTTGGAGTCCCTCTCTAACTATTAGTTTACCAGAAATTTTTACTATCCCAATTTGGCTCACTCTAAATAACATACCAAATCAGCTATACTCTATCAAAAAAATATATTGGATTGCTTCAGGTATTGGAGAGCTGATGCTAATTAGTAAGCCTTGGCTTGACCCAACATCAATGGGAGAAGCAAAGATCTTGGTTGAGATTAAGGTAAACAAGCCATTTCCTCAAAAAATATCTCCGGAAGATACAAGTGGTTCCGTCACGATGGTTGATGTGTTGTATTCGTGGCTGCCTTAAAAATGCGGTAAATGTGGCCATTTGGGTCATAAAGCCTCTTACTACCTTGGTGCTTGTTCCTCAGGTTCCGGACAAGAAGCACAAGAGGATCTTATCACGTGTGATATCCCAACAGCTACCTCTGGTCCTATTCATGAAGCTGTTGATGTTTGTGTTTCAGCCCATGTGAACACAACAATACCAAGGGTTACTAATCCTGCAACTGGTTCTACCATACCTAGTAGTGCAAATTCTGCCCTTGCAGTTGACACCATTTCTTCAACAAAATCTATAGTAAATGATTCGACTACTGTTTTTGAACCACACTCGGATGCTTTAGTGGTTGTAGCTCCTACAACAGCTTCTGAAAATGATGCAACTTCCAGAGAGACTAATGTCACTACCTCTCCATAACAGATTGTTCAACTTGATGAAACAGTTCTAAAACTTGCAACCATCTTTGAGGTTGCTTTAGATGCTACACAGCCTGAGCAAGGTAACCCTTTCTCTTTACTACACTCGGACTTGGATTCATCTCCACATATATCAGGCAAAACTACAATATGTATGACTGAAGAAAATGATGAAGATAGTTTGAGACTAGAGGAAAATCATTTTTCTCTACTGGATCAAAGTGGTTCTTCTTCACAAACAAGCCGAGGTGGGAAATCAATCAAACCAGTTAAAAAATGGATAATTTTTGAAAAGACTCACTTGACAATTTTATTACGAAACATGACACTTTCTAAAATACCCAATAAGAGGGGCTCAGTAGTGTACATTTAATCTATCGTTAGTCTGCCAGTAATTTGTATTTAGTCTGTCATTAGTCTACCAATAATCTATATTCAGTTGTAAAACTAATCAGTATGTCAGTTGTCTGCAGTCAGTCTGTCATTAGACTACAAGTTCTGTCATTAGACTACAAGTAAAAGTAGTTTGAAAGATAGTTTTGGTATTTTAAAAAACCGTAAAATAGGAACTATTTTCACAATTTTCCTATAATGGAGTACCCATTTCACATTATTTTCTCATTTTGGATTATTTTGGAACATTTCTTCTTAAAAAAATTCAAGAAATTCTCTTGACTACAGTTTGTCGTCGTGGTCGACGAGGCCGTGATTGTCGTGGATAAATCATGTAGTATGATTAGTGAGTTAGTTTGGTACCTCACTCTAGTTAATCTTTAACTTGGTTTGTTTTTTTCCAAGTCAAGCTAAAGTGTAATCATTAACATTTACCTCTGATCACTGTCTACATAACTGTATGCATTGCAAAAGTCATAGCTAGTATTTTTTTTAATTGAAAACCTTTCGTCAAAAAAAGAGGGAGTAGCATTTTGTAAAATTTATGTCCAGACAACAGCTAATATTAAAATTACTGTTTTTTATTGTGATAGTCTTTTAAAAATAATAATATGTCAAATACTAACTGGTATATATAAGTAAAAAACTAATCCTAAATTCCCAAACTAAATCTTAAATTCCAAATATAAACCTTAAATCCTAAAAATATAAACCTACTAAATTTTCACTACTAAATCTAAATCCAAATACATAAACATTGAAATCATTTTTTTTAAGTTTATCAAACATTGATGTTCAAAACAAATGTTCAAAAAGTGGCTACATATGTTACGCTATTGCCATGCGAATTATGTGGCTAACTTGCATAACGATTTAAGTGGCTTTTCCGTGATAAAAGTTGCCACTGATTTGAACTCTGTATAAATTTAAGAATCCTTTTATTGTTTTTTTTTTTGGTTTACAATCAAACTCTCAAATTCTTTTCGGGTTTGTTTATCATAGTGCATAATCAAATCCTTACAAATTGCTACGTAATCCAAATTTTTATACAAGGTCATTTGTATTGATATGTGTGAGATTTAGGTTGAACCAGTTCTTATAATATAAAACAAATTTACAAAACTAACCTATTTAACCAGCAAAATTTGCGCCAATAACATTTACTTTTCCATTGTTAATAAAATAGCATTTTGTGAAATTTATATCCTCTAAGAGGGTATCAGACAACACCTAATATTAAAGTTACTGTTTTTATTGTGTTAGTGTTTTTAAAATAATAATATAATGTCAAACACTAACTCTATATGCAGTAATAAACCAAATTGTAAATTCCAAAACTTAACCTTAAATTCCACATATAAACCTTAAATCCTAAAAGCTAAACCTAAATCTTAAATTTTAATTACTAAATCTAAATCTAAGTATTTAAACTTTGAAATCATTTTTTAAGTTTATCAAATAATGATGTTCAAAAAAAATGTTCAAAAAGTTTATTAAATGTTTTGAAAATACCATATTTTCTATAAATTTTAATACGTTTCAAAAACATTAAATGTGATTATCCTGAAAAAGAATTGTTCATCTTCATCATTTGAAATATCAATTTATTTCTTTAGTAAAAAAAACATAATCCTCATCTCAAAAACTTAAACACTCAGAACAGCCGCTGCTAAGGAGAGCAGTTGCTATCGCTAAGAAGAAGAGCAGCCGCCGCTAAAGAGAGAAGCCACCGCCGTTTGTTTGCTCACATTTGTTCGATCTGCTCTTCCCTACCCTAAATGCCATTACTAATTTATCTAACAAAGGTGAGGCTATATATGTGAATTCCCTTCTCCTTTATCTTACTTGTTCCATATCTAGTTGAGATTAAGCCAAGTTACCCTAGGGATCGTAATTTTTAGTTGCTTGGTATGTGATAGGATTTATTTACTTTATTTTGAACATAGATATATGATCATAATAAATATTATTGCTTTTTGAATAATGTTTGATTGCTTGTAAGAATTATATTTTATTATATATAGAGTGTTAAAAACACAACTGTAACATGAGCTAAAAATGAAGTTGTTACAGTGGTCAATATTGTTTGGGGTCTTGATAGAGGTGGCTCCTGAAGTGTACCAACGATTATGATAATGAGCCCACGAGTGCCATGGTGAAAAATGGGCAATGATGCACCCCTAGTCCGAGAGTAAAACATTGCAAGCTGTTTAGTATCGAAAACTAAGATGGTACTATTACAATGGGCAAGTAGTTACCTTACTTACTAGATCAAGTCTTGATTCTGTTTCTTGTTGATTGTTAAAGAGTCGCGAATACTTGTTCGTTTAGACTATGGTTACAGATAGGTGTAAGCTGTAATACGTGTGGTGGATCACATATATGCATTAACATATGTAATCTGAATTACATTTCTTCACAGGTGAACAAGAACAGCAACAGTGATTTCTAATGATTGGTGTTAGTGTTTAGTTTGATCTTGGGAACCAAAACACTTGGATTTTATTTTGGTTTTATGACTAGTATTTTTATCATTTGATTTCAATTTTAGTATAGGTTTTGTAAGATGTTTTGAAGTTTATTTGTTAAATGGATTTGGGTTAAGTTTGAAAGTGATAATTTAGTTAATTGTTAAATAAGGATCATGTCCTATTTGTGAAGCAAGACGGGCGTTACATGACTGGCTGCAGGGAAATAAAAATAAATATGCATAATCGAAATGTCTTGAAACACATGCAAATGCCATTTATAAAATGTTAGAAAATTAGAGTACACTAAAATTATGCAATTCGGGGAATTTGATACAAAGATATAAACAAGATATAAGTTCCTGTTTAGTCACCATTTTGATCAAATTCTTGCAATATATTCGGCTCCTTGATGTGATATTTTCCACAAATATTCAAACCGCGATATGAAAAACACTTATGCAAAGTTTCATTCATATCATTAAATATTTATGGATTTAGCATTTGCAATTTTTTTAGCATGTACCATTTTATCTAATTTCATGAACAAGATTAACATTAAATATTTACAATCGAGAGTATTTAGGTTTCTTAGTTTGTGTTCTAATTATAAGAATATAATATAAAAATGTATCATTTAGTATTTTATAGAATGTATAAAGAAACACCTAAATAGACACCTAAATAGACACCCAAAACCTGATTAGGTAACACATGTCAACTTGCATTTAAACAAAACTCAAGTATATGTTTTATCAAAACAAAAACTCCGCTTACTAGGCTTTAAGTTCTATATATTGATGAGGACACAATCTCACACAAACCCCAAAAAAAACTAAGATCCCCATCATAAATGAACAACCAATGACAAAATCTGGCACTAAAAACAACAAGGGAGGAATTCATCAATGTAGTGGAGAACTTGATCAACGAAAGAGAATTCCCGAAGACATCACCAAACTGATGAACCAGCTAGTCTTTAATTTAGTCGAGACACGTATAATCAGACCAAAACCAAGATTATTCCTATACACTAATCATGAGATCTTCATGAACCAAGTTTTAGAAGCATTCAACAAAGACCAGAAATGTAAGAAGCATCGAATACAAGCCCATACCTACGCTTTTTGCAAGCGAATGGCCTCCTAAACACAATTCGTATTTTTTTATCGTCACGCAAGTTCAAAACGACAAACCATAAGGATTATTTTTGTCTAACAAGACGTCTATGACACTTTTCATACCAAAAGGAGCGTCTCCATGACCAAAGTAAAGGTTTGAATTATTCTGATTAAATGACAAGTTTCTATTATTATTTTTTTCAGGATTATTTGTAGCAGTTATTACAATATTTTGTCGTTAGTTTACTATGTCATCCAGTTTCATTTTCTTTATCTTTAACCCTAGAAAGTGAAAGCAAAAAACATAAGAATAAATTTTATTTGTAGTATTATACATTTATGTTTGTACCCATTATTATAAAAAAGAAAATATTTAATATTTTGTGTTAATAATATCCTGTGGAGCTTCTTAAATTCACCGAATTATCATAGTTTTTCCATAAGCTATGTGTCGTCTATTCATCCATTTAATTATATTGTCAATTCATCTCATCCATTAGATTAAATAAAAAACACTGTTTAGTTAATTGCTTGATTTCTACCAGTCTATTCACCATCGATCCATCAACCCGTTAAAGTATAAAGCATTATAGCGCCACCAACTACATATACTTCATTCATCAACC